ACATTTAGTATGAAATATACAGAAATAGTGCGTCTGTGTTGTACATAAATACTTCCAAATAACATTTAGTATGAAATATACAGAAATGTGCGTCTGTGTTGTACATAAATACTTCCAAATAACATTTAATATGAAATATAGAGAAATGTACGTCCGTGTTGTACATAAATACTTCCAAATAACATTTAGTATGAAATATACAGAAATGTGAGTCCGTGTTGTACATAAATACTTCCAAATAACATTTAGTATGAAATATACAGAAATGTGCGTCCGTGTTGTACATAAGTACTTCCAAATAACATTTAATATGAAATATAGAGAAATGTGCATCCATGTTGTACATGCGATACATATTTATGAAAAGTATTGAAAATTGTCTAAGCGACAACTTTTTTTTTTTTAAACAGGTGTTTAACTATAACTTTTATAGTATAAAACTTCAAATAACGCATGCGCCACAGAATGTATTGTAACAATTGATTTGATTTTTACCATTATTATATGATTTTTATTGCGGTAGTTAAAAAGGTTTTGATGAACAATTTTTTTAAAACTAAAATTTCTTGTCACCAGTTAACTAACTGCAACGCGTCTAAACGCCTATATCACTATTCTTATACTTACGAACTCCTATTTTCCCCCACGTAACAATTTGAAATCTAATAAACCCCCTTTATTCAAATGGGGATTGTATCTAATAATAAACTCCTTTCTGGCAACACCCCCGACAGACTTTTCTTTTTAATCTTTGGTACGAGATCAAATATTTTTATCTTCAGAGAAAAGGTTCTTTAGGGATCCATACCCAATCTCTCTTTTTTTATTATTATTTCAATTGAGAATTGTGCATAAAATTAAGTCTTTATGTTGTGTTATCACTTTAAGTAATTTTACAACGGTCTATCTTGATATCCCAAAGAGAGAGAGAGAGAAACGTTCCAAAAATTGGTTTTCAGTTAACGAAAATGAGTCATTGAAACACCATTTGGCTATATAAGTTATTTACTTATTTGTTGATCTTGTTTCACAAAATAAAAAGTTGTATGTCTTGCTTTAAATAGAAACTGCACGGATAAATAGTGGGATTGTTTTGTAACTTATAGAAACTGCGCGGATAAATAGGGAGATTGTTTTGTAACTTACTCCAAAGAGTAATGTATTTCTTAATTGTCCAACTTTCTTGTTTCGGTATAAATATGGTTTTAAAATACTCATTTACCTTATTTCTAAAAGTTTTTTATTTATTTACAAAGCTCTTCGGTGGGCTAATTACTTGGTTGGGTTATTGAATTTTTGACTTAGGACTCTTAAACTCGACAAATGGATTTTGAAGCAGATTCTTCGGGAAAACGTCATGATGATGATTCTTGTTTGCAATAACGTAGTTTCGTTTTATTTATGTACGTTTATTTAATACTTTTGATTCTCGAGCATGGGTTTCATATTTATTGCTTTAGTGCTGACAATTCTAGGACATCAATGTTGTTGTTGGTGGTGAATTTAATTAAATATGTTGTTATTTTTAAATTAAGTTTTACCTTTCTTACCACCAGAGGGACTCCTTTCCTACTCCATGCCTCAAGGAGAGAGACGAGGCCTCGAACTGGACTTTTCAGACAATACGTACGATGGGGTAAAGGACGATAGTTACCTCAATGGTGGTCTTGGTCAATTGACAGACGGTGTTGAAGGAGGAGATAATTTTAAAGCGGACGTATATGGCTATGGAAAAGGTATAGCAAGCTAAAAAAACAAAAAACTCTGTACAGTCATATAAAACACACTGAATACTATAAAAATATTGAACATATTATGTAGCTAACTAGTTTTGTGTTGTAGTTTTCTTACTTTGAATGGAGGAAGAGCTGCTCATTTTTACGAGTTTATTGTTTTAAGGTAATTTATCGTTGATGGAAACTTCGTTTAAACATAATAGTTTTCTTGTATTCATTTGACTCAATGTGTATGTCTACCTATCAGTCATTCAGGTATCTGTCTGTTTCTGTGTGTTCGTATCTCTTTATTTGCATATCGATCTATTTATATTTCAATCAATTAATTTGTATACTTTATTATTTATATCTATCTGTTTATATTCCAATCAATTAATTTGTATACTTCGTTATTTATATCTGTTTATATTCCAATCAATTAATTTGTATATTTCATTATTTATATCTGTTTATATTCCAATCAATTAATTTGTATATTTCATTATTTATA